AAAGTCAGTATCCGACGTTGATGTGACGACGAATAAAAACAATTAAGCTTCCAAAGGAGAGCTTTAACTATCATAGATTTAAGCTGGTGCTGAGAATTTACTCTTCAAACTTTATTACCTGTCCGAAAGTAGGAACAACATCATTAACGCATGCAAAGCGTAGGTCATAGACCATTGATGCGGTCGAGTCTGTGATTAAGACTCAAGAATTTCGTATATCGCACGTGGCTGGAATATTCATTGGCAATCTTTAGTCATGATCAACGTCTCGAATCCAAAGTGAAAGGGGAAATTGTAAGGCGTGGCTCACAGGTATAAGAGGTTTAGCCGATCTTTTTCATGGCACATATAATAGAGAGACCCCAACCAAACACTAACAGTGTTGGCGGTTTTACAGCTCGCTCGGCCGAATTGTAAGGCGTGGCTCACAGGTAATTAACGAGAGGTACCAAGACTCTGTACTCTTCTTCTTTTATTCTCTTCTCGAGAGCTACTACAGCGACGCTCTATGCATCTAATGCTCTGTGCATCTAAAAATCATGCTCTTGCGCGAGGAACCAACGCTTTAAGTAGGAAAACCGTAGACATGTTTGGGTTAGCTGACCGTGAGAGTTTCCACGGTGTATCCGTTTATTTTGCAAAAAGGGGGAAACTGGGTGGCCCTCACTGAAGCACTTTGACGGGTGCCAAGGAACCAATTGAACGTTAACAGCTGCGCACAGGAATTGCGCACGCAAACCAATTGAACGCCAACAGCTGCGCACAGGAATTGCGCACTCAAACCAATTGAACGTTAACAGCTGCGCACAGGAATCGCGCATGCAAACCAATTAAACGCTAACAGCTGCGCACAGGAATTGCGCACATAAACAGGAACTTCAGTGTGGGTAGAACTCAAGGTCAGCTTTACCAACGCAAACACGACCACCTGTGAAACTGTCTAATTGTCTAAATGTCTAACACGGTAACAAGGAAATCCGCGAGCTGATCCAAAAAAATATAAATCTACCAAAACAACACGTAGGCGCAAAAGGCAAGGCTTAACAAAACAAAAGGCTTAACTAGAAAAGTCTCAAAACAACAACTTCCAATTCACCTCTCAACAACAGTGCCGCTGGGAGCGAACTGGCGTGCATGCGCGACAATGGTCAATTAACGAATGATTGAAGTTACCTCTTCACAAAGTTAACGATATCTTCAGTTGATCTATCTCCACCATAATCTTTTTCCATTTCACCATTCCTACAATGAAAAATGAAAGAAAATCAGGTACTTTAAACAAACATATCGCTAACATTTCTTTAGTTTTGTTTACTACGACGCGATACAAGCATCAATTTCTCCTGAATCTGAGTATGCACATACAGACATTGGCTAAGAAAAAACAAAAATTTACCATGAGGAGGATCCTGTTTGATGCGACGCTAAAATTCTTGACATAAAAGCATGGGGGGGAGGGGGGAATAAGGCTAATGGAACTAAGATGGGATAAAGCTTTCAAAATCTCCTACGGCGAGAAAACACGATGCCGCATGCATTCAGCGCAAACAAACTGTTTAGGAACAATACCAAACCGTTTGAAATGAAGAACTAGCGAGCTATAGATGATAAATCGTTAATACTTACTTGTAGTATTTCACTGTTGCCGGTCAGTCAATGAAAATGGAGAGAAAAGTTGAAATGAATACGCGGTCAATAACGGTATTTACAGCTAAAGGTTTAACACTGTAAAAGCAACCAAGAAGTCCTCAGAGGTTTATTGAAGTGATTCGTTGTTCTGCTAAATGAAATTTGAAAGCCATGACATGCAAAACTCACACTTCGACCAATTTCCAAGTCGTGGGAGTTTTGTAGAAGCTTTACAGCTTTCGTCGAAGAAAAAAATTATTCCATATTGTAGGTTTCTGGCCGTAATGTACTACTATTTAACATGAAACAAGGTCAAAATAAACGAAACAAAAGAAGAGATAAGTTTTACCGGTGGGATATCCTTTAAGTCCAATCCGCTTGCAGATAGATTTGAATCGTGTGCAGTCAACAGCTGCTAACGCTTCAGACGGCTAAAGAAAATTAGATAGTTTATCTGTAGATCGCACATATTCCTTTGAGGAGATCACGCCTGATACGATAACAATCGATAAGTAAGGAAAAGCAAAATGGAGATGAAAACATAAAGGCAAGCCAAGATGATAAACCTACAAAGAACAACGAAATTTCGTGACACATTCCCAGAACAAGTTAAGAGAGACTTACATGTTTTTCACTAAGAATCTCTGCAGCTTTGAAGAAGTTTGGCTTCATAGATTTGCAGTAACCACACCCTAAAAACACACACACAGAAAAAATGGATAGAAAAAGTAACTAAATAAATAATATATAAACTAACGTATTAAAAGCATCTCAACCAGTTTCCTTTTCATTTCCTGTTATGACTGTATCACGAAAAAACCAACTGACAACGTTGCGATCAAGTAAAGAAAATGTCATTTGTTCTGTCACGAGAGTAAAATGAAAAAAAATTAGTTCTTCACGAAGCATCGAACCTCAGACCTTCGAATGTAACGAACCTAAAACAACAATTGGTGAATGACGTCATTACTTTTAACCCTCGATCATAATTTCCAGTAAACCAATAAATAGGTTTGTTTTATTGACACGTGACACATGAATTACATGTGACACGTAAATGAGATATTTCACAACGACTAACCGTCCACCGTTGGGTTAAGACGTCTATATGAAAGCGCTGTATCAAAAGACAAAAGGGTAAACAATTAATTGAAATGAGAAATTAACTGTTTGTACATACAAGGAGCAAAAAACATGACCAGCACAGAGGTATGTTCCGCCACGAATGAATCCCAAGTCTCGTTAGTCAGGAAATGCACTTTACCAGGCTCCTTACTCCAGTCGGGTGGCGGAGGAGGAGGTGCAGGTTTCTGGGGACTGGGAAAGAGATGAGCAGTCTTAGAACAATTTTTGAACGGCCTAACTTATTCTCCAAACAGAACAAAGTCAGGAACAATTTCACACCCGTGTGAATCCAAGGTTCGCGATCTCCTGAATACCACAATTTGATCACTTATGAAAAAATAAGTTGGCCAATGACCTGCAGTGCACAAATTTATATGATTTTATTTTAAATTTTAGCACTGATTTTCACTATTGCTTAAATAGTGCTCTTTACTGCGAGGATCATCATTAATACGTTTATAAAATTGTAATAATAACGTACTCTTTCATGAAGGCTAGCATGTCCTCTGCTGTTCTTTTCTTGGTGTACTTGTAAGCAAATTCACCATCTCTGTAAGAATTATGAAATCATCGAAGGTTACTCGAGGCAGTCGTTTTTCTTATCATCACTCTACGATGAGGTGGAATATTCTGACGATTTCTCGACCTCGCACCCCTGGGGGCATAAAGACGAGGGGCATGAAGAAGAAGGACCTGAGAACGACGTTGACCATTTCTGACACATACGACCTCGAGGGTTCACCTAGGCAGCGATGATTTATGTTCCTCCCTAAATCACTTGGATTGCATCTCAATTCATCCACGTACAAAAGAGAAATGAAACACAGTCCCAGAAAATGTAAGACTAGTAAGGTTTCATATCACCAGTTCACGGAACATGAAAAATGTTGAAATCAGTACCGACTGAATTTTGCACGACAAAACAAAGTTAGGCATGAAACGTGTTGATGTCTGCGAAATAGTAACACTTACTTGTAGTATTTAACTGTTCCAAGATAGTTCCATTGGGAAAGATAAGAAAAATTAAAAGTTAGGATTTGTCATAATATCAACTTTCAAAACTGCGGTAGCTATAGACCACTTTCATAAATGGCTGCCGGATTAATATTCTTTTGTTTAAATTTAAGTTAGCCTTTCTGGCCTCGTTCTCTAGTACAAAATTCAAAAGAATACATTATCTCAAGCGAGGCCAGAAAGGCTAATTTCAATTTAAACAAAAGAATATTAATCCGGCAGCCATTTTTGAAAGTGGTCAATTCAACAAGAAAAATCGTCTTTGATGTGATCAAGAAAACCTTTTGTGTGTTACATTTCTTACACCGAGCAATAGAGATAAATTTGTTTACTACAGCAAGCGATTCAAAGTAACAATGGATTGTCTAGCGCAATTGTCTGGGTGAAAGTAGTCCTGAAAAAATGTTTTTGGCCGGTGACCTCACGGTCACTTCGTTCGTTCGTTCGTTCGTGCGTGTAAAAATAAGAAAACTGTAACACCGTTTCAAAGACGCGTGTCACTGGACAGAAGTGAGCATGAACGGAAGTAAAAGCACTCACGTGTGGGATAACGCTTGACTTCCTGTTCAGTACAAAGATCACCATTCACGGTGCAATCCACCGCACCCAGGGCGCCAGGGACCTGACAAGCAAAATTGTGGAAATGAGAATTTGCGAACACAAAAAAAGGAAAACCACATAACCAAGATTCAGCCGATTACAGAGTTAAATGAGATCAAGCGTATTTGCTTTTGTTTTTGATTTTTTCCAAATGTAGCTTTGCTTTCAAGGGAAAAATATGATTCCGACTTGATGCTTCGAAAGTTACTCAAAAGGGGAAACACCTCTTCATTAAAGCAAATGACAAGAGGGACTGAGCAAAGAAAAACCTTTTTGAAAACACAACTCGAACAAGTCTTAATTCATTCTTGGTTCTCAGGAATGTGTACGACTCTCGTTGACAAGAAAGAATATTTGATCACCTTGTTCTCGGTGTTGACTTCCTTGGCCACCTCAGAAAACTCGGGTTTAATTTTTTTGCAATGGGGACACCCTAACCGAATCGGAAAAAAAAAATCAGAGAACAATACAATCAAATGAAAACAAGTACAATAAAATGCATACAATGACGTATAAAAAGAAAATGAAAGAAAGTGAATGAAAAGGATTGATAAATTGCGACAGGTAAAAGAAATGAGAACTTGGAAACGTAACAAACAGACTACAAAAAGGCGGTTTTTTACTTAGAACTTACAAGGAGCATAAAACATGACAAGAGCTGAACTGTGTGACTTGATAAACTCCTGGAATGTGCTGGCTGTTAAATGGACCACGTCTGTATCATCGTCACTCCAAGCTGGTTCAACCGGTTTTTCAGGATTGGTTGTTTTAGCGTCGGCAGGTGCTGAATCTTCGGAACTACGACACGAAAAATGCAAGAAACCTTGAGTAGTCTTATAGAGAAAATATTACCTATTGCATGGTTCAACGCAAAAAATATTTTCACCTACTATACAAATATCTAGACTCCAGCTTAGACGCTGTTTGATCTGGTCACGCAACGTGTTCTATCCCCCGGAGGGAGCTAGCTGAGCTTGTCATGCAACGCCCCCCACCCCCCGCCCCCCCCCTAAGAAAAAGCTTGCGTGTCACGCCCCCAGGAGCGTTTGAGTGACGGGAACAAACAACAAGAGATATGCAGAATTTCCAACTCACATCAACAAGAAGTCTACCAAGTCTTCCTTTGTTCTTGCTTTCTTGTATTCAGAAGCAAACTCACCCTTCCTGTAGCAATGCAAAAAAAAAAAAAATACAATCATCACTGTTAGCACGTCGAAATAATCCGTTAAACTACGTGGACCCAGTACGTGAAATCAATCTCCTTCAATATGGCCCGTGGATCAATGATTTTCTCCAAAGGAGAACTCAACAAGTACTACGAAAGAGGAGAAGTTGGGGCGAGTGGAAAGTTTAAATCCACACTAAAAAAAATCCATATCACGATATGTTAGGAAACAGTTAGACTCACCTGAAGTACTTGACTGTTGTTTTTAGTTTTCCAGTCACATGCAACAAAAAAAAAAAAACAATAATCAAAAGGCTAGAAAAGATTAAATAAAATTGATGAATTATTTTCAATTATTGCAGTATATCCGAGAAATACTGTTACAGTGTGTATTTCCTTGTCTTAGCTTTAAGTCAGTTACGGGAGATGATTGGGTAAGTCATTCAAAAAGCTATTTCGTACATTTCAATCATATATAGGATTAATTAAGGAAATTCTGTTCTTCTTTTACGTAAAATTGATATTTGTTTGAGCTCACTTGTAGGAAATCCACCAATGTCAAACTTCGTTGCCAACGATTTCTCTGTGGTACAGTCTACAGCGGCCAAAACACTGCGAGCCTGTTAAGTTTACCAAAAGAACGACAAATATTATCCATGCAATTAGTGCCTGGTCATCAAGAACAACTTGGTAACATAAATACATCCGGAGGTATGAAATAAAATGATATTATATAGCTAGTGATATTGCAAGGGATGAAGGATGCTTGAACATTGCAGCCAAAGAGAAATGAAATGCTTGTCAGTTTATCAAATACCGCTCCAGCGTTTAATTACAGACCGATCCTGGCAGTATGTAGGACGCTTTTGACATATGAATCCAGAGCGTAAAACCCAGCTCGTATACAAGTTCTTGCTGCTCTTTTGGGAGGGGAGGTGAGGAGAGGGGACTGGGGGCNGGAGGGGGAGGACTCCAGATCGAAAAGTTGTAATCGGCTGCACTTCGACATCCCTTGGGAGCCTCATTTTCATGGACAATATTTACAAAAAATATCAAGAAATCAAAGTCTTGATTCCCACGCTGACAGTCAGCTACAATTAACCACTTCACCCGCCCGCTGATGGTACTAAATAGGTTCCCACTCTACAATATTCCTGGTTGTATTAAGAAGCGTTGAATAATGAAGAGCAGTGCTAATGGACCACAGTTACCCATCAGTTCGCTTTCTCTTCCATTTTGCTACTCACATTTTTACTATGCAATTCTTCAGCAGCTTCCATGTATGCCGGCTTCATTGCCTTGCAGTGACCACACCCTGAAATTTTTGAACGGGGAGAAAAAACAAATTCGTGAGGCTAGTTTACTTCAGAATATCTCTTAAACCATTAACAATCTGCCGCCCCGGGGAAGAACAAACTGGTGAAATAGCTCGGGTGGTTCAGTGCAGATGTGCTTTGGAGAGGTGGCAGTCATTAGAGGTTGGAAAGTGTTTGACCAGATGCCGATTAAACTAGATAAACAAATAGATATAAAACGCCACTGTCATCAACAGCGCCTCTCGGGGATTCCTCTTAGTGAGATGTCTTACTCGAGCAGACACTTGTTCGTGATCGAGAATGTACGACTCTCAAATATTGAAAAATTCTCGCCTCAATCAAAAACATCGACTCCACAAAGGAAAATTACATTCCCAACAGAAAAAAAAAAAAAAAAAACATTGCAAATATCAGAAGTTAAGACATATGTCCGAAAAGGTGAGTTCATACTGTAAAGCTAAAACACCCCCTTATTAAAAAGCAATAAAACTAAAGGAGAAAAACTCCCGGTTAATGGATCTCAAGTCGAAAATCTCAAGTAAAACAAATTCAACTTACATGGCGCATAGAACATGACAAGAACTGAATCATGTGTCATCATAAATTCCTCGAAAGTATCGTCAGTCAAATGAGTGACGCGACTTGGCATATCCTTCCACTCTGGTTCAGGGGGTGGGGGTGGTGGACCTTCACGAGGATTCTCCATGAACTCGATAAAGTCCTTAGCCACCCGTCCCCCGACGTACTTGAAGTCCTTCTTACCGTAATTGAAATAACGGAAAGTGGGGTATCTGAAAAATAGTTAACAACGTGTTTTAGCATCTCTCGACAATTATCAACACATTTCCTGGCCCGTTTATCGAAAGTCCTGATAACGCTAAGAGCCAATGAGGCCACATCTAAATACAATGAATAGAAATGCGAGTATTGCCACATTTCGTTTCGTTTCCTGATATTTTCTGCGTCGAAACATAAGCAAAAAAAAAAAAAACAATGGAAAAGTACATACCCTTGCACGTCAAACTGGGTACATACAGATCTGTGCACTGTACAGTCAACTGCAGCATATGCAACCTAACAAAAGAGCCAGGAAGTTTTGTTCTTTTATGGCAACTTTCGGATTGACACTTTTCACTGAAGACATTTACGTTAGTGTCTTCCACTTAATCCAATTCTCCATTAAGGCCCACTTCGGCTACAATCTTGAGTGTCAAATCTTTTCTTCACAGCGGAGTTATCTGAGTCTCGTTTTTAATTATATGACCTCGCACTAACATATAGGAAGATCTGATCCCAGATAGCTCCGATTGGACTAAAATGTACGTGTCTTCAAGGATTATACGAATGTAAAACTTATTTTCCAACCATCCAAGAGAAGCATCAAAAATGTCAGGAACCATTCTGTGGCAGCTGATTTTACGTTTCCTCGTTTGATGAAATCGCCTTACCTTGGAATTTTCCGCATCGTGTTTGGCAGCTTCCATAAATTCTGGTTTGGCTTTTTTGCAGTGACCACACCCTAAAATGGATACAAGTAAAATGGTTGAAACATGGCACATCTGCAAATGGAATAAATAGCACCACATCTTTAGAAAGTATCAGCATTCTTAAATCATGTTCTCTGTAGCTCCTCACTAGAGCAACCAAACGATGAGACAAAGGGTTGAAAATTTACATTTGCAGCTCATATTAAATTTACGTATTGTTGTTAAAGGCCTCTGTGTTTTCTCTTACCTCTCTCCTTTCACATTACCACCAAACTGCTTGCAACATGGTTTCATGAAAACAAAATTATTGTTGCTCTCTCTGATATTCAACTTACATGGTGCATAAAACATGACCAAGACATGTTTCTTTTTCTTTATGAATCCTTTGAATGTGTCATCTGTCAAGTGCTCCACTTCACTCTCCACTTCACTCCAATCTTTCTCTGGGGGAGGCGGTGGTGGTGGTTCTTTTGGACTGGAGAAAGCAAAAACCCTTAGTTTGTATTTATTTGCTTTGTATACAAAGATTTAACATACACCATGTACTTACTCTTTCATAAATGCAACAATCTTGTCAGCTGTTCTCTCGTTCACATCAAAAGCAAAATCACCATCTCTGATAAGGAAACATTTTAATAATACTAAGTCAATTTTCTCACACCACTCAGAGCAGTCAACCCTAAAAACCTCAACCCAAATACGAATTTCAACCTTTTTACTTACTTGAAATATTTCACTGAAAATAAATAAGAGAAAGAAAGTAGGTAAGTGAGTAATACAATCCAACCACCACACGGTCAACACAAGCTCTATCTCCTTAAGGGAAAATACTTGTGGTCACAAAATCCTTGAAATAAAATCAGGAGGTTTCTTGACAATTTTACTCAGCCAAAGGGAAATCACAGCTCTGATCAGGTTTGTTTCTTGGTAAGGCAGCGTGAGCACATGAAAACACACAGGCAGCATCAAAACTTCCAAAGGAGGGAAACTCAGAAAGTTACCAAGAAGTTGTTGATTAACTAAGTTACCTGTTGGGTAGCCCTCAATTTTGAATCGTTTGCCAACTGCTGTTTCCTTTGTTGCATCTATTGCTGCTATGACACCAGCAATCTGAAATGATTACTATCAGTCAGCCTCAAGCAAACAAGCAAGAAATTTAGAACTACAGTTTTAAAGTAATAATATTTGTTTTTATACCACTCACTCGAAATCGAATTTATCAAACACTGTCTAATATTTCAACTGAAAGTACCTCCTCCTCCCTCATTGTTTTGGCTGCATCTGTATATTCTGGCTTCATAGCTTTACAGTGACCGCACCCTGAAAATCCAAACAATCATTACAAAAAAAGCTGCCCACAAAACTGTCCATAAATGTTGTACCATGATCTTGTATTTCAACAGAAGAACTTTGTATGCCTGACACAAAATCTAAATATGTCAACCTTTCACTCTGAATCTCTTTTTCTGAAAAAAATCAATTCATCACAAAGGGATAACTTGAAGCACTGAAGATACAAGTGAGAGATTTTGATTTTCAAGTCCCTACAAGACCAGGTAAGTGGAAATCAGAATAAAATGTTACTTACAAGGAGCATAAAACATGACAAGAACAGAGGGATTGTTTGCAATAAAATCATCAAATGTGTCATCTTTGAGATGGACAACATCACTGGGTATGTCACTCCACTCCTCTTCCTTGGCAGGTGGAGTTGAAGGAGCAGGGCTAAAATGAAGACAAAATTATACATCAATTTAAAAGTTAAAAAAATCTCAATTACCCTTGAAGATTAAATACATGGTAAGGAAACTCTCATACAAATTGACATTGTACATCTCTTCATTCATTTCACTTCCACTATCTCATAAGAAATTCTCTCCACTGTCTGCCATACATTTGTTATGATTTTAGTTACTTTGGCTAATTGATAATGGATCAACTAATAATCCCCTAATTGAATTTTTTTAAATTCTCATCACTTGTGTGCTTGAAATTGTACTGATATAATTAGAAGAAATTCTGTCTTGGTCAGTCAGACATATGGTTTAGGGGTTAACAGACAACTTCAAAACTTCATAATAATTTTTAGATTTTCATTGTATAACAGAACAGAATCATACAAAATTGTCTAAAATCCAACACTAGCATTTTAAATTGGACACTAACATCTAAAATCAGACCCTGAGCATCTAAAATAAGACACTACTGTCCAAATTGGACACAAGTGACTAAAATTGGACACTAGTGTCTAAAATCCGACAGTTAACTGTCTAACAATGGACACTAGTGACTACAATTGTTCACTTCTGTCTAATAGAAGACCATGATGAGAATGATTGCTGCCATTAGTAATCCCTGCCATAAAAAGTAAAACTCACTTTCTCATCCACTCCACAAGAGAATCTTTATCATGTTTTCCTTGATAACGATATTTTTCTTCACCATTTCTGAGAAGATCAAATTTGTGAAAGACATTGATTTAATAACAACTGAAATCAAAAGGTTTGCCAAAACTGCTTAGGGTCCATATTCAGAAAAATTAATCATAATATCAAACTATTTATTCTTATTATTACTAGGTCTGTGATACGTACTTAGCTCCTTGCCCTTCATTTCAACCATTCCTTATTTCTTTCCACCCTAAACATCAGTACAAATATTCTCCACACTATTCTCTCTAAATGTCCTGAGGTGTGGACAAGAACTATTTTAGAGCTTCTTTAGTTCGTGATCATTTCTTTTATTCTTGTGACCCTAATGTGTGATTCAAGGGTGACATGGTTGGGAGAAATTAGATGTTGGTCACTCTGAGCAGTCAAAGGGTGGAGAATACACTTCTAAAGATGTCATTTTGAAATAAGTTAAATCAATGTGTAACTGAGCCTTACTCAAAATATATCAAAGTTGGAAATCCTGTGATATTGAACTTTTCTCTAATTGGATATCCTTCGTAAGTATCTACATCCATTCCAGCCATTATCTGTTGGGAAAAATAATTGGTGTGAGTACCAAAATACATGGACTTGGAACTTATATGAACACAGGAGTAACAGTTGGTTATGAAATTTGCACCTGGTCAAATAAATTCAAAATCAGGTGACAGATCTTTTTTCTACTCAGCTTCTTAACTATACAGTCATCTCAATATTACCATAAAAAGCCCTCCGTCACTTAATAAGTAATTTTCCGCTAATTGCTGGTCAGAAAAGAGAAAATTTTACCCAGTTAGTAAAAATTTAACCTAATTAGAAATAAAATTAACTTAAAGCAAAAATTACCAAGTCCAAGTGAAAGTCATCTTGAGAAGGTCTGTTGTCAGTGGTTACTGACCAAGAGTGAAAGTCATTAGTCAGAGAGAGTCAAGTGAGGAGTTGATTGTCTGTATTGCTGTAAGGTTGGTTCATGAAAACTGATCAATGAATTTTGCTGTTATATTAATGAATTTAAGCCTTCAGTACCCCAAAGTCGTAACCAAGGTGTAGTAGGCAACTTCTAAATTGGAAAGAGATTACAGACGGGTCAAATACAGTTCTGTTTGTTTTATCACATTTATATGTTCAACACCCAATATGTTAAGAATTTGTTTTAAAACAACTTACAGCTTCCCCTTTAAGTTCAGTGGCTGCTAGAGCGTAGTCAGGTTTTAACTTTTTACAGTAGCCACACCCTGAAATTCAAACAGCAAAAAACTATAAGGTCACAATAAGGCAATCAAGCAGAGGCTGGCAGGGACAAGCAGGAACGAGCAAGGGTGAGCAGGGGCCAGCAAGAGCCAGCAGTAAGGAGCAGGGAAGAGTAGGAGCCAGCAGGAGAAGCAGAGAGGAACAGGAGGGAGTAAGGAGGAGCAGGAGGGGCAGGGAGAGAAGGAAGCAACCGGGAGGAGCAAGAAGGAGAAGGGAGAGAAGGAAGGAGCAAGGGGGAGCAGGGGAAAGCAAGGAGGAGCAAGGCCCAGCAAGAAAGAGAAGGGGTGAGCAGGGGTGGTAAAGACCAGCAGGAGTTAGCAGGGAGGAAAAAGGGGGAATAGGAGCCAACAGGGAAAGCGGGGGTGAGTAGGGAAGGACCAAGGACCAGCAGGGGTGAGCAGGGAAGGACCAAGGGCCAGCAGGGGCAAGCAGGGAAGGACTAAGGGCCAGCAGGGGTGAGCAGGGAAGGACCAAGGGCCAGCAGGGGTGAGCAGGGAAGGACCAAGGGCCAGCACGGGCGAGCAGGGAAGGACTAAGGGCCAGCAGAGGCAAGCAACCTCAGATCATTGAAGATTAAGGAAAATATTGACCCCTTATACTAACATCAGTATGCATATTCTCCATACTGTTCTCTATACATTTCCCAAGGTGCTGAAAGTGAGAATTTGTTTGAGAATCAAGAGCGTCTTTGGTTTGTGATCATTTCCTTTATCATTTTGACTTATATGTTTGATTGAGAGGCAATGTTTCAGGGAGAATTAGGTGTGAGTCACTCTCAGGGATCATAAGGTTAACAAACATTTCACTCACATGGAGCATAGAACATGACCATCACTGCTTTATTCTCTTTTGTTGTTAGTTTGACAAATTCCTGCAAAACAGAAAAAAAGACTATTTCATGAAAATTGATTTTCCAGCCCTGATCACTTAACAGACAGGATCTGTTATTCTAAAGATTTTCAAAAGTTTGTGAATCACACAACTTACACTACTTGTGTGAACATGTCGTACATCCTCTGTACCTTCTTCTTCTTCCCATGGCATTTCCCCCGTAGGATCATTCATAAAGTTTAACATTGACTGAAGAAAATTTAAAAAAATTAGGTAACTATTGGGATAAACATTAGTAAAAACAAGGTTTGCTTTTATCAATTTTTCCATTTACAATACAAACAACACAAATACCAAATTCAAATCAATGATTTCACTCACCTTAACTGTGTTCTTCCTATCATAATCTTTGTTAAAATTCCCATCTCTATGAAAAATGAAACATTTCACGCAATATTAAAAGAAAAACCCAAAAGCAACCCTGCCCATGAAACAGCAAGAGTGTTTGAAATATATGGATTGAAGAAATGAGGATAAAACTGGAAATGTGTGAAGAATACAGAATAGGCAGGGTG